TATATCTATCTATCTATCTATCTATCTATCTATCTATCTATCTATCTATCTATCTATCTATCTATCTTATCTATCTATCTATCTATCTATCTATCTTATCTATCTATCTATCTATCTATCGATCTATCTATCTATCTCTCTATCTCTCTATCTCTCTATCTCTCTATCTCTCTATCTCTATCTCTATTTCTATCTCTATCTCTATCTCTATCTATCTCTATCTCTATCTCTATCTATCTCTATCTATCCATCCACCCATCCATCTACCTACTCTCCATCTACCACCTCCAGCTATTCAAAAATCGGCTTATCTCTCGGTCCACACATAATCTATATGTCTACTTGTCCTCTATGCTTCTATCTAGCTTTTCTATCTATTTTTCTACTCTCCATCTATCTCTAAACCAGTTGACGTCTCCAGGCTTATCTCTCTGTCAATACATACTCTCTTTGTCTACCCGGTTGTCTTCAGGCTTATCTCTCCGTCCATACATACTCTCTTTGTCCACCCAGTTACTTCCAATAATCATGGACCAGGGGGAATCAATACCCACCGTCACCCATTTGCGACCTGGTACATTACCCTGCAAAACGTTCCCAAAACCCACCCAAAAACATTAACTGAGGCTTCAAAAAAGCTCACGTTCGTCAAGGGGGCCCCCCAGACCCCCTAATCTCTCACTACGTTCGCAAACAGCAACGAGCCAGCCTGTCCGACTGGCTTTCGTAAAAAACTTTGCTTGGAAACCTGTCCCTGGACACCTTGCTTGCAAATCTGTTCCTGCGAGCTTTGCTTGGGAGCCCTTGCTTGGTAACCTCGCTTGGAAACCTGTTCCTGGGAACCTGTTCTTGAAAACTTTTCTTGGGAACCTTGCTTGCGAACCTGTTCTTGGCAACCTTGCTTGGAAACCTGCTCTTGGAACCCTTGCTTGGCGGGAACCTGGCTTGGGAACCTGCTTCCTGGGAACCTTGCTTGGGAACCTGTTCTTGGGCACCTTTGGGAACCTGTTCCTGGGAACCTTGCTTGGGAGAATTTTGTTTTAGAACCTGTTTCCTGGGAACCTTGCTTGAGGAACCTGTTCCTGGGAACCTTGCTTGGGAACCATCCTTGGGAACCTTGCTTGGGAACCTTTTTTGCCGACCTTGCTTGGGGACCTGTTTCCTGGGATCCCTGCTTGGGAACCTGTTCTTGGGAACCTAGAACATTTTAGGATCTTTGGGAACCTTTGGGAACCTATTCCTGCGAACCTGGCTTGGAGACCTTGCTTGGGAACCTTTGGGAACCTGTTCTTGGGAACCTTGCTTGGGAACCTGTTCCTGAAAACCTTGCTTAGAAATCTGTTCTGGGGAACCTTGCTTGGGAACCTCTTCTTGGGTACCTTTGACAAACCTTGCTTTAGAAACCTTTATTGGGAACCTGTGGGAACCTGTTCTTGGGATCCTTTAGGAACCTGTTCCTGGGAACCCTGCTTGGGAACCTAGAAATTTAGAATCTTTGCGAACTGAACATTGCCTGGGAACCTTGGGAACTTATTCCTGGGAACCTTGCTTGGAGACCTTTGGGAACCTTGGCTTGGGAACCTGGCTTGGGAACCTGTTGTTGGGAACTTGTTCCTGAAAACCTTGCTTAGAAATCTGTTCTGGGGAACCTTGCTTGGGAACCTCTTCTTGGGTACCTTTGACAACCTTGCTTGGGAACCTTGCTTTAGAAACCTTTATTGGGAACCTGTGGGAACCTGTTCTTGGGATCCTTTAGGAACCTGTTCCTGGGAACCTTGCTTGGGAACCTAGAAATTTAGAATCTTTGCGAACTGAACATTGCCTGGGAACCTTGGGAACTTATTCCTGGGAACCTTGCTTGGAGACCTTTGGGAACCTTGGCTTGGGAACCTGGCTTGGGAACCTGTTGTTGGGAACCTTGCTTGGAACCTGGGAACTTTTGGGAATGCGGATTTTGGCTGCTCGGACTTGCTCCGGGAGCTTTACTATGGCTGAAGACCCCAAGCTTACGCTGTTTGAGAAAACTGGATCGGTACAGTACCACCCATAGTGATGTTCTACCCCGCAATGATTTACTGCAGATGGGAGTATAATGGCCTAAAGCCATCGACCAAAGCCAGGGGTTTTCAACACAGCTCAGGATTTGGAATTGCGCTCCCAAGATCTCCCAATCAAGAACAAGGAGTCTGTGAGTTCATGATCAGCTAAATCCATCCGCCCAAGATTTTGCAAGGGCTCAATAGATCCCTACGAAACCATCCTAAGTTCCAAGGCACACTTGCACCAGCCACAGAGTCAACCCCAGGCACAATGCAACCTGTAGCTGCAAATTTGTCCCCTCAACAACTAAAACGTTGGGAAATGGTTCCCAAAAGTCGCACTGCTCCCCTCAAATGGAGTTTTCTTGTAGTCATTCATTTGTACGGGGGGAAACAAGGGTTTTAGGGTGTCACTTTAGGATATGGTGTCATCAGATATCGCTTGCTACTAACAATACAGGTAATGAATTAACCCAGCATTCAACCATAATAGGAAAGTTTCGGTTTTTCTCTGACGCAAGTTTTGGTATTGACAGGTGTGCCAGTTTAGTCGAACAAATACCATCCTTCAATACCACCAAGACACCATCGGACGAAGACACCACAGAAACACCACCAAAACATAAGCAAGACACCCAAAACATCACCGAACACCATCAAGACACTACGGACACACCACCAAAGCACCACCAAGACACCAACCACCACCGGAAGACGATTGACCACCAAGACACCAGCAGAACAAACACCGCCGATTCCCGAAAGCACCTGCAAAGGGTTTTCCCAAAAAAAAATGTTGCCAACACACTTTGTCACAATATTTTTCCCATCACAATCTTCTCCCAGCACCATCATCACAACACTATCACAACATCATCATCACAACAACATCATCACAACAACATCATCACAACGACAACAACAACAACAACCAACAACCAACAACCAACAACCAACAACCAACAACCAACAACCAACAACCAACAACCAACAACCAACAACAACAAACAACAAACAACAAACAACAAACAACAAACAACAAACAACAAACAAACAAACAAACAAACAAACAAACAAACAAACACACAAACAAAGAACACAAACAAAGAACACAAACAACAACACAAACAACAACACAAACAACAACACAAACAACAACACAAACAACAACACAAACAACAACACAAACAACAACACAAACAACAACACAAACAACAACACAAACAACAACAACAACAACAACAACAACAACAACAACAACAACAACAACAACAACATCAACAACCATCACCACCACCACAACAACCACAACAACCACAACAACCACAACAACCACAACAACCACAACAACCAAAACAACCACAACAACCACAACAACCACAACAACCACAACAACCACAACAACCACAACAACCACAACAACCACAACAACCACAACAATCACAACAACCACAACAACAACAACAACAACAACAACAACAACAACAACAACAAGAACCAACAAGCAACAAGCAACAAGCAACAAGCAACAAGCAACAATCAACAACCAACAACCAACAACCACAACAACAACAACAACAGCAACAGCAACAGCAACAACAACAGCAACAGCAACAGCATCACCATCACCATCACCACCACCACCATCATCATCATCATCGTTATCATCATCGTCATCATCTTTTTCCAAGCCCTGTTCTGCTTTTTCTTCTTCTTTTCATCAACCATGCCCGTACCATCATCATCAATACTAGTAGACATCCTCAACATCCTCGTTTTTCATATTTGGCAAATCTCAACCTGTGCGCAGATCCAGGTGGACATGATCTTTTTCTGTGTATACATCTACAAAATGAGATTTGTATACACAGGTGTAGATGCAGGCATATATCTTATTGACGCTGGTTTTTACCTGCGGGTGCATAGGTGCAGGTACACAGAATTTTCTTTAACACAACTGCCACATAAATATATGCAGGTGGATTGCGGCAGATATATAGGCGCAGGCGGAGATCAATTTCTCTGAAACACCTGTAAATTGACATACGCAGGTGCACAGTGGCAGACGCAAAACTGCAGGTGGAGATCAATTTCTTAAAGACATCTGCAACTTCTAAAACCTGGACCTTTCCAAAATTTAGGGCAGCAGGACAGCATGGATTGATTCGGATTGATGTCCAAGAAACGCAGCCTTCTTGCACGAAATGCCGATCGTCAAAAATTGCGGTGAAATGGCAATGTGGGCTTGTGCTGGGTTCATCCTTTCCCACGAATTTCGTCTCGATCTTCGCTAAGATTGCGATTTTTGCAGTTCGATGGTTTTGCCTAGCCTTTGTCGCACCACATTCGTCTCGATCGCTAAAACTGAATTGATTTGCGTTTAGATGGTTTTGCGTAGATCCTCTCGCGCTAAATGCGTTTCGATCGGTTAAAAAAAGTGAAGTTGCGATTTTGCATCTGCTTGCTAAACTCTTTGGTGCGAAATGCGTCTCCGCCGTCAATCACGTAAAAGCAAGTCTGTATAAAAACGTTCGTATGTAAAAGCTCCTTGTGTAAATGCATTCATTCCCTTGTAAAACAACCTCTGTAATGTCATCTGTGTGTAAAGTTCCTCTGTGTAAAATCTTCTCTGTGTACAAGTATTTGTCTGTAATTGAAGACGTTTCTGTGTGTGAAAGCATCTCTGTGTAAACGTATCTCAGTTGTCTCAAAAAATATATCCGTGTAAAAGCATGTGTGTTTATAAACATGCACTCGCGCCTCTCCTTTGTCCTCTTTTGGCAACACTTTCAAGAGTACGGGGCGCCCCCACCAAAAACAGGCTTCGCTCATCAGCTGGCTGGTCCCAAATGTTAAAAAGAAACATGCAGCAGCTGTTAAAGGAGGAAGGAAGCCTGGTAGGTTCACCACCTATTGAAAGGGCCGTCACACCTAGTACGCGCCATGCATACATGAGTCTGCTCAGACTGAGTGACCTAGGGCTAGAGGGAAAAACAGTGCAGCAGAACGAATTTTTGACTTTGCACTATGTGGCAGTTTGGTCATAAAAGTTTCAGCAGCCAACTCCTGAAGGTAACTTTCCAGGGTACTGAGGGACAAAAGGCGCATTCGCCACATGATGCTCTGAATGCTCTCTCCCCGTCTATAGGCAGCAATCGCACCTCCACCACGCAAGCTGGCAGGGGTTGGCTGCAAGTGCTTCGGCACATACAACGCAAAAAGGACTCGTTGCCACCTGGTTCTGAAGGCTGCAGCTGACAAGGGGAACAAAGGTAGAAACTCTTCAAGGGGGCCCAGCACCGACTCCAGAAACACAGAAACCAATTCGCCATCGATCTTTAAATGCTGAACTCGGCCTTTCCGACGTCTCATGGTTTTCGGCTTCCGGATCTTGAGAAAGACTGCCGAGCCCTCAGCAGTGCCCAGATCTGATGGGAGTACCAAATCTCCTCGCCGAGCTCGCAAGAGTTCACCTACCCAATAGACTGGCTAAGACAAAAATTTGTCTAATAGTCAGATTTTTAAAATTTGTCTAATAGACAAATTTAAAAAATTTGTCTTAGACAAATTTTTGCTCGACAAATTTGTCTAAGACACGAGTCTTAGACAAATAAATTTGTCTAAGTCAGATTTTTTGCCCACCCTCCACGAGGAAGTTTCGAGGAAATTTCCTTGAAACTTCCTCGTGTGTTTTGTGAAACTGCCTTCAAACTACCTCATGTTTTAAAGGGAAACTTCCTCACTTTTTTGGTGATTTTTGGGGAAACTGCCTCACTATTTCTCTTACTTTTTGATACTTTTTGCACACCCTCCACAAAATGATGGAAAAATGATAAGGTAGTTTGGAGGCAGTTTGGGAGGCAGTTTGGAGGCAGTTTGAAGAAAATCTGAGGCAGTTTCAATTTGTCTAAGACAAAAAAAAATTGTCTAAGACAAATATTTTTTTGTCTAAGACAACTTTTTTTTTGGCTAAGACAAATTTTCAAAATTTGTCTTAGACAAAAAAAAAGTTGTCTTAGACAAAAAAAATCTACCTAATAGTCAGATTTCTACAGAATAGGGATTAGACAAATTTTTGTCTTAGCCAGTCTATTGGGTACACGAGCTATGCCCTCAAAACCCAAGAGCAGTAAAGCTACAAATCGCTTCCAGCCCCACATCCAAGCTACTGCCACCATTGCTTTGTACAGCAACTCCGGAAGAGGCTGTCTATGCTGCACCGGGTTTATCTCTTCCCACTGCGTAACCAGAGCCCAAGCAGGCCCCAGCAGCGGCTTTACAGCAGGGTAGAGCTTCTGAACCAAAGCTAATAAATGCCTAAGTTCATAAAGTGCATGACCAGAGCGGTAAAGCTCCACTCCATAGCTCCGCAGCATCTGAACTGCAAGCGCCGGGCAAACAAAGACCTGGGCAGCTGTAGCCTCACTAAGTTCCTCAGAGAGCCATTGCTGAAAGTCCGCCCAAACCTTACGCTGCAGCCTTTCTGTACTGGGGTTAACCAAAGGAACCCCCAACAAAACGTTCACATCCCTTTCAACTCTCCTTCCGACCGGTCCAGGGTTTTTGGCTTCGCCTACCCTGCAGTGTCCAGCCTGGGCGCATTGAGCTATTGCCAATTTAGCTTGTTTTCCAAGAGGTTTCAAGCCCGCAGCTGCACCCATGCTCCTAGCCAGTTCAATGCAAAAGCCCCCAGGGTATACTTGCGCTACTCTCGTCCATGCCATCCGGTGAAAAGCACTACGCCCACGAAGCACCAGGTGTTCATGGTCCCTCAAACAAAGCTCACAGCATCCTGCCAAAGAAGCGGATGTCGCCACCCTGGTTCTCTTGCGCCAAGGCGTTTTGAATCTGCAAAAATCCACTCGGTAGGACCGCTCAGGCCAGCCAATTCCAGCGTTGAGGAAGACAGGAAGCAACCATAAGAAAGAGGAATCAGGGTTCTCCAACCAGTAGGGTATATTGAGCTTATTACAGATCCCAACCAGCTGTGCACAAAAAAGCGCATGCAGATTTCCCCTCCGCACCTTGTCTCGCATGTTCTCGGTCAAGACGTCGAGACCCATAGGCTTGGAGCGGCTGCACACCGGAGGGCAAACAGCTCTTGAAAAAGAAGCACATTCTGGAGCCATGCCTAAGCCGAGAACAGCGCCGCTTTCCAGCAGCTCCTTCACCGTAAGCTGCAGGTCGTGTTGAAGCAGATCTTGCTCAGGACCATCGTTGTAGTCCACAGTGAGCACCCAGACGCCAAAAGTTCTGGCTATTTTTCGCGCAACTCCAGCAGCACCACTGTAGAGATCCACAAACCCCTGTCGTTCAGGTACGAACCCCTTTGTTGCTCGCTTCCCATTCGGCAGCACAAACTGCGCTGCTTTGAAGGAGCTCAGCACTTTGACAGCTCGCTCGGAGAGGACCCTCGCAGCAGGATTCCTACTTTTCCTACTGGCAGTGGGGCTCTGCTCTGACTGGAAACAAACAGCTTTGGAATTGGGCCGAACCTTAAAAAGCTCTTGAGGCCTCTTGTTCTTTTCTTGGTTTGGGCTTTCAAGCCTCTTATGCCCTCTTGTCTGTTCTTGTATACCGGACAGGGGTGAGACTGCTGAAGCTACTGTACAAACAGAAAAACCGCTACCAGTGCCTGCACAAGGAGGATTAAATAGAATCAGTACAAGGCTCCTCCGGGCTGAATTCAGTCGCGGGTTGTGAAACTTCCTTGGCTGGCCCGGTGCATCACTACAAATGCCGGCAGAGACTTCTCTAAACTTGGCCATCCGTTCCGGTTTTTGGACCGAGGCCAGATTTTTCAGCAAATCCCCTACCAAACCCTGCCTATCTACATCTGCCGCTGCAGCAAACGGAACCCCTGCTAATTGCAAAGGATCATATCCTAAAGAGCTAAGCCATGCATCAAACTCAGTGAAATCCCCCGCGGCAGCAGCAGCCCACCATGATGGGAGGCTCTGGACCGCAGAACGCAGCTCTGCACCTCGCGTAGGATCATCCGAGGGATTTGCCAAAGACGGCACATAGCCATAATTCCCGTAGATGCCACTACCCAAGATGGTCGGCAAAGACAACTGGAGCAGGCGGTTGATGTTTGGAGAAGCGCTCCAGCCTTTCACCAGAGCTGCCAAAGCCACCTGAGAGTCAGCACCTAGAAGGTATCGGCAAGGGCCCCTTCGTCTTGCGAGCTTCTTCTCAACCTCCAACACGGCCTGAAGCTCAATCAGATTTATGTGGCGTCTCGTCTCGTAGACTCCTTTTTCACATGGTGCACCTCATAGCCTAAAGCCTGCGCCAGCAGCAACCAAAGAGGATGGGAAACTAGTGGCACCCCATCCGGCAGCTCATCAGTCGGAAAGGGTTCCTCGGGCATCTTCAGCCAAGCCTTCCATGGTGTGAGCAGTTTTGACCAAGCGCCTCTAGACAGCGCATGCCGCTGGAACTCCTTCGCTAAGGACAAAGGCAGCCGTGCTCGCACCGAGGCCGACCCCCACTCGGAAGCATCACTCATAAACACTTCAGGAATGGAAGGCGCCCTCATCTCCGCTGCAGCAAGAGGGGCCAAAATGGCCAGCACAAAGAGCTCCTCCACCAAACTAGGGCTGAGCTTCACAATGTCTTGTTGCTGCCGCCCACGTTGGGCTTCATACATGAACTGCACCAGACAGAGCATACGGCGCCTCGTCTGAAGCACCGATATCCAGCCCCCAGCCAGAACCTCTAAAAGAGCTACTGAAGCCAGCCCCAACCGGGCTACACGCAAAGAAAGATCAACCAAGGGCACGACACGTTTTGGATTGGCTCGCACCCGTCCAGTCACACCATTTGCTAGGCAGCCCCAAAACTCCGCCTCATGTTCAGCCCGAAAAGTCTTTCGGGGGTGTGCTAGTAAGCCCTGCTGCAGGTACTCCTCACAAAGAAAATTCAAGCGCCTGACACCTTCCATGTCCTCCTTCGCCACTGCATCTGGCTCAGCATGTTCAGCAAAGATCACATCGTCAATCACAATGCCAGCTGCCACAGCGCGAGGCGCCCGACCATGCACAACTAGAAGCTCGAAGGGTGAAAAAGCTCTGGCTAAAAACCCCAATTGTATTTGAGACAGTTGGCCCAGTTCTACCGCTTGATTGTCACCCATAGCTAGTGCAGAAAGGCACGGGTAGAGGTAGGGGGAGTTGACATCTTCTTCTCTAAAACAGGACAACTGCTGAGCTTCTGCAACTGACAAGGGGCAAGCTAGGGCGTTGCGAAAAGCTCTAGCGTTTGTCACCTTGAACGCATGGTAATAGTCTTTGAGGTCAGTGCCAGAAAAGTACATGTTCTTCCCAGGTTCTAGTTCCTGAAGAGCCAAAGTGTGACAGGAAGCCAAAGTTTTGCACCAGGTGTCTAACTTGATCTCTTTGCTATTGGGAGGCCTTGCATCAAGGATGAGACGGTCTTGCACTGCATCTTTCACCAAAGCAAACGCTCCACACAAATGAGTTTCGCGCACTTCTTCAGGCTTTGCTAATACAACCCGCCCTGAAGCGTCCAATCGCTGCAGCAAATTCCTAACCTGTTGACGTGAAGCATGAACTCGGACTTTTGGTGGCCTATCCGCAAAGGAGTCGACCGGTTCCGCTTGAGCTACAGGGTCTAGAAAAACATCTCGATGCAGCTTTGGCAACAAAGGAGTCGGATCAAAAGAAGGAGGTGCCGTGGGCAAAGACAGCCGATCAGGTTCAATAGCCTTTGCCTCCACCGGCTTGGCACCAGACATGCTACCAACTACCTCTCCTGCTGACAGGGATGAGCCAAGGGAATTGTGTGCAGCACCAGCACATCTATGGAAGTAACCTTCCCCGACGACATCACGAGCATCGCACTCCAAATCTGAAATTAATTCATCCAAGCTTTCCACTTTGGCAGCACCCCTGCCTATCTCGGCGGGGCCTACTACTCCTACATGCAAAACATCATCCACATGCTCTTCCAGCCGCTTCACCACAGCCCATTGTGCTGCATTGAGGCTAGACGCGCAAGACAGCAAGGCGGGGCATCGCCTAGGCTTCCCCAAATGCAACCAAGACAAAGTAAGCACCATGAGATTGACTGCTTGATGTCTGCGTTCCAGATCCCTACCAATAGTGCAGTGGTTTTTTGCAAACAGCTTTGGATACGGAGCAGCCATAGGCCAAAGATCAGAAGCTGTCCCTCGGCAGCTCCGAGGTTTGTTGCCAAGATAGGACCTCACAAAACTAGCCAGAGATGTACGCGAGGATAGAAGCCACCTCGTCAATGCACCCCAAAGCGACCCAGCATCCACAGGCTTCGCAGCGGCGCCAGGCACATGCAAATCCGCACCTCCAACTTCGCAGAGGCCATCTAATTTCTTGTGGGCACTAACTTCGTGATGCCGCTCTGCACACTTCCTCAAGTCTGGGCCGCATCGGTCGGCGGGGCACTCTTGTCGCCCTCCTTGCTCTTTTCCTCCTGCTTGCCCTTTCCCGCTCCTTTTGCTGCTTTCTTGGGAGCGGGCTCGCCCTTTGAGGCTTGAGGCTCTTGCACCCAAGGCTCCCCTTGATGGGCAGACAACTTTCCCTTCTTCTCCTGAAAGTCGGAGATGTCCTTGAGCTTTGTCATGAAGAGCTCACACCATCGCGGATCCACCAGCAAACTGTGAGGACATTCCCAAGGATCCGGAGCGCGATGAAGAGCAAAGCTGTGAAAAGGAGGAGGGGGCTCGAGCGCAACCTCGGCTGCTAGGAGCCAGCTCCCTTTGTCCACTGCCTGTTGGTCCAAAGCGGCAAGGGCTAGGCCACACCTTGCCCGAGCCTCCGCAATTTTGTTGCTGCGAAGGGCATCGAGCACACCAGCTATCATCCAAGCTGTGCGCACTGTGGAAGGGAAGTTCTGAACTCGGGAGCGGTGTTCCAACCACCCCCTTGCTGTGACCCCCCCGGCAGCTAAGCCAGGGAGCTGACCTGACCTCTCCCAATCCTTCTGCATTGCACTCTCGATCTCGGCATAGAGCAGCTGAGGCTTGTCCGTCAGCATGCGCTGAAGGGACCGCAGGGCTGCAGCTTTCGACCTGGAAGCACCTGCGGTAGAGCTCGCCGCTGAACCAGATTCGGCGTAGTCCAGGATGCCCTCCAGAGTCTTGTCTTTTGCCTTCTGCTTGTCCTTGTACATCTGCCCTAAGATCTTTGACATCTGCACCACTGCGGTGCTCATAGGGTCGGCACCGCCAGATCCTCTTGGCTCCAGTTCTTCCACCGGGGAGTCCTCTTCGTCCTCGTAGTCCGCGAAGCGCACTGCAGTCTCCTCCCGTGCCGGGTGGCGCAATGCCCCAGCTCGAGGAGTCTTGAGGATTGAGGCCATCTCTTCCAACTGCCGACTGACGCCAGCTTGCAGGGCCTGCTGAGCAACCCCCGGGTCCAACCCTGGTGGCAACTCTGCCAAGGGAGAGAGCTGAGGCTTCGCCCTGCTCTTCGAGGCCGCCGCAAGAGGGTGCGAAGGTTTTGATGCCTGCAGAGCTTTTGTCACCTGCTTCAGCCCCTCTTCCAAGGCTGCAAAACGAGCTTCGAAGCTTGCTGCTGGCGGCTCTGACTCCGCAGTGAAGAAGCTGAAGTGGTCCCCGGCAATCGCCACCAGAGCACCTGCAAAAGGGAGAGAGGGAAAGTCCAGCTCGGCCGCTGCCTGGTCGTAGCTGATGTTCTGTTCCAAGGTTCGGGCCAAAATGCCCAGCCAAACTCCGAGACTGGGCTCGCCCTCTGCTGCCGAGCGATCCAGCTCGGAACTCAAAGGCACTACTACTTTCACTGCCTTCCTCAGCGCTTTCTCTGGGAGGCGTCTGTTCCTGACCTTCTTGTGCCATGCTTCCGATGGCACAGCAACCAAAAGCTCACCGTCGACTTCGGCAACGGCTATAGCTGCTACAGAGGTTCCAGACTCCTCCAAACTCAGCACTCCCACCGAGTAGTCAAAGTCAACCTCCCCACCTGAGGCGATGAGATTTCCGCGGGCAGTGAGGTCCTCAGGCAAGTCCTCACCACCAGATCCTCCTCAGCCATCGCTACTGCCTAAAGGCAGCAGGCGTCTCCAGATCTGCAGCAGCACAAACAGCGCGCACTTCAGCGCGACTGGGTACGCCCACAAAGATGCTATCACCAGGCTGCCCCAGGCGATGAGTCAAGGTCTTTGCTTCCCCCAGCTGGAAAAAACTCTAGGAGGGTTATAGTTGACCAAATCAAAATCTCTCACAACAGTCACAACAATATAAAACCGTGACGCTAAGGAGATCTTTTCTCGCCCACTCAGTCCTCGTGGCTCCCCACGCAAACAGCGCCGAATCCAGGCACCGATGAGTCTGGCAGCCCCCAACCTCTCTGCCGTCAAGGAAGTAGCAGCCTCAGCAACGCTAGCAGCAGCAGACGAAGGTTCAGTCACTACCAGTTCAAACTCGGCCACTCGCTTCTGCAGCCCTTCAACTACCAAGAGCAAGGCCTGAAACTCAGCCTTGGAGACCCCAGATTCGCCACTCATGCGAACCGGTAGAGGCTCTCAGACTTATGTCGCTTAGCGAAAGCTGACAGGCTAGCCTTGATCCAAGCTCTCCAAGCCTGTCTAGCCAGAAAGCACAAGTCCAAAAGAGTGCCTAAAGCAAGCCCTACCAGAATCCCCAACGCAAGGCTAATCAGGTCAATCCGTTCCCAGGCTGGGCTAGACAGAAGGTCACTCAGTGTGCACTCGTTGCAAATCGGGCAGTCAGGAAAGGTGTTGGCCCCCAGAGGAGCACCGATTCCCTCAGTCAGAAGACGCAGCAGCAGCGCTGACAGAGATCCTGAAGTTGCGCCTATGGCGGCCACGGACCTATCCATGCATCTGTGACCCGAAATTGCTATGAGATGCACTCATGCGTGTCATCACTCTGAAACAGCACGCGGGCGTGTGTTGAAAAACGCCTGCGCTTAAAGTAACATCACCGCGTAAGAATCTGTGCAAAAACACCTGTCACTGTGTGTCAAAAGTATCTCTGTGTAAAAGTACGTGCGTGTAAAAGACCTCTGCGTAAAAGAACGTTGCAAAATTACTGAGTAGATGTAGTAGTGTATTGGTGTGCAAAAACACCTGTGTGATCCTGTGTGCAAAAGCATCTCTGTGTAAAGGCACCTGTGCTTAAGCGCGCCTGCGTCTAAAAGTTTCCCTTTGCAAAATCATCCCCGTGTAAAAGGTGGCGTCTTAAAGCACATGTGCAAAAGCATTTCTGTATTGAAAGTGTATATATATCACTCCCGGCCTTTTCCACTCACTAGTGCAAAGTAGCCCAAGCTGCGACAGCAGCTGATGATGCCGTTCAGACATCAGGAGTTTTGGAAAATGGACCGGTCCAAAAACATATCAAATCAAGGCATGGACTATATGGAAATGCCACTGACCCTATCCACCCTTAAAATACTGCTCCGTAAGAGAAAAAGCATTGGAAAACAAGGAATGCACAACCAAATTGCAGTGCTGTTCCAGAAAAAGAATCCGTTCTTTTGCCGCTTTGGGAAGACTGTGCAGAAATAACTGGGCGCCAACTTCTTGAATATAATACTCCAGAGTCTGATTCTTTGAACATCTGCCACGCCATGCGATCTTGGGGATATCCTCCGAATCCAGATACATAGCTGTTGCGCCAGAGCCTCGAAGGGAGCCTGGAGTGGCGCCTTTCTCCAGCTGACGTCGGGGAATCTGCAAATGATCGAAAACTGCATTCCACTGGCGCCAGAAAACTGCCATAGATGCCCCAAACAGCGGCTGATCAACAGAAAGGGTTCCAAAAACGCACTCGGCCAAAACCAAAACACTGACATCACAATCTTGGTATGTTGCCTACGTGCAAATCGAGCAGTTTTTGGGTTCTTTATGAAAATGTACAAAACAGGGTCAGAGGACATCGCATCCTTGGGAAAAATCAGGTCACGCCTGGTCAGGTGAATGAATTCATTGGGATGAAGCATGCCCGCAAAACCAATAGCGACCAGTGCTGCGAAGGTACACCATCCCCAAAGCAGGGACAGAGAGATTGCTGCTCGAAGCATAGGTACGCTGAGCACAGCGCGACATTGCCCTGGTTCATGAATCTGCCAGCATTTATCAACCTGCCAAGCGCCAGCAAGCTGCATCCGAAATTCAGGCCTCAAATGCTGAACTCCTGTCACTGCGTACACAAACTTGTAGCGGGGGAACCCCCCAGCAAAGAGTTCCATACCGTACGCTCTCAGCGCCAAGTTGGCGACCTCAGCTGAAGCTAGTGCATCATCTAAATCCAGACCCAGCCAATTCGAAAAATCCTTCAGGCACATCTCCATGCGGGCCGCTGTCGCCTGTGACAACCCGACATTCAAATCAAGAGGACCACGTGGCTGGTATTTTCGCGGCCCCATCGACTCAGGTCCGGGGTTGCGTTCAATGTCCCCTGCAAGAAGAAGCAGGATACGAACCCAGCGCCCCAAAGGATTGACCCACTTCGCACTGGCAATCACCTGGTCAAAACGCCTGTGGTCGCCACTCTCCAGATCTAAAAACCAAGGACGAATCTCCCTTGAAGCAGCTTCAACTGGTCTACCTCGTGACGGGGCATCAGCCCGATTCCAGGCTGATCGCACATGCAAACACCCAATGTACAAGCCACCACCTAAGATATATCCCAAGCTTGTCCGCAGGATATGACTCAAGGCTGGACTACTGCTCCTGCCCTTTGCAGAGGCCCCAATAGTGACCCTGCTATCCAGAAAACCAACAAATCCGGCTACCCGGACACGACTTTGAGCAGTGCTTCACCCAGCTTTTGAAGACCCTGCATTCCAGACAGTTGATATGCCCCGACTTCTTGAAAGAATAGCGGAACAACTCTCGAAAAGGAAGGCTGAGAGCGAGCTCCTTCACCCAATCAGGATCTTGGTGCCACGGCCGCAGAGACTTGTCATGGGAACAGTCCCCGCTCGCCCCTCCCAGAGTCTGTCTGAAAGCCCAAGCTCCCTCCGCCATAGCGCTGCATAGCGCCCGCGGATATGCAGCAGAAAAAGCACTGACTGCTTCACCAGGTCTTGGCACACGCCCATAAACACTGTGAGCATCAGGTTTGCAGCGGGAGTTGAAAACCTTGATAGACGCCTTCGTAAAAGACCCCTCTATCACAAAATGAGCTCCATGGAGACAACAGCTACAAGTGCCCCCCAATTGTGACAACCATGGTTTGTTGTGTAGCCACTTTGACGGCTTGTTGAAAGCACTTCCACAATTGCAGAAAGCAAACTTGGTAATCCAGCAACCCAGCGACAGGAGTCGCTGGAAACATTCCAGCTCAAACATGACAGACGCACCCGGCTGTTCAATCGAAATGAAAGCACCACGCAGAAGCGCCACAGTCAAGATGAAGCAAGTGCGCACTGCTAGCAAAGTTTGCTCCCTTGTCACACGATCATCCGGATCAAACCCTGCAGGTTGCTGCTTCGACCTAAGACGAGGTCGTCGCAACGTACCGAAGCTCCAGCAGGGAGGTGCAGCATGCCACTCCTTGATCTGCCCAGAATCCGCCAAATGAACCATCCGGTAAAAAGTCCGGTCATCTGCAAGATCCCCATACTTCAATCCTGCGGCTTCCCGCTCCAAGCCAGGATGCACAGAGAAACCCTGCTGTGCATGAGCCCTGCTCCAGTTTGCTGAGCCTGCGAAGAGCTCGATGCAATCATACACTAAACCAGCTCCTTCAACAGCAAGTGGACCCAAATCAACGGGTCTTGAATCCTCACCAAAAACAGGAAAATTATCCAGGCCCAGTTCAGAAAGTACTTCGCCAGCCCCAGAGTCCAGCTTGGTATGAAAACCCCGCAACTCAGTGTGACGCCAGAGCTCTTCTGCTGTATGCTTTGAAACGGGCACCTTACAGATTGCACCTCCAGTGGGCGAGGCATCCATCATAAATAACTCATTTGCCATATCAACCCTCAAATCGGCCTGAATGACTGGCACAAGCAAGATCAAAATCAAAAGTTCGTTCAGGCATCGTGAAGTCATTGGAAACGCTTGATCGGGCCCCAGGCCCTGTCCAGCAGAAAACACTTCAGACAAAACTGAAAACACTGGTCGGCGAAAAAGTAAAACGTGAATCCAGCTGCCCGAAAGACATTGCAGTAGCCGGCGGGTGGTCACCCCTTTTTGAACAACGACAGCAGTGACAAACATCAAGAGTGCAACCCGAGCTCTAGGTGCATGTACCCGGCCAAGTTGCCCATGAATCTCTGCCCCTAATGCCACTGTGGAAGTGACTTGCCGCTGACGTTTCCCTGGATGAGGTACTAGACCCACAGCCCTATAAGCCCCCTCAGAACGTTCACAAATAACCCGACTTACCGCTCAATTAAGCCCTTGCCACCTTTTACCATTTTGATTTTGGTGTTGATTAAATCTCAGCAAAAAGCAAAAAACACGAAATATGAAGATCAAAACTTTCCACAAATAGAGGGTGATTATTTTTCTGTTTATGCTGCTTAGAAAAAGGTCGAGAAACAAACATGTGAAGATCAAAATTTACCACATGTCACAAATCATTTAAAAAGATAAGATAGGTGGGAGATCTGCTCACATTTTTCCAATGTAAAAGTGTCCACTATGATTCAAAAGGGTGCTGTTCAAACAACATGTTGTTTTTGATGTTGGCTTTGTTTGATGATTTTTATGTTAATGATTCTTTGAAAGGGGATCGAGAAACAAAAGTGTGAAGTGAAGATCATAATTTTCCACATGTCACAGGTCATTTAAAAAGACTGTTCGGGTTCAATCAGTATATTTTTCCATGGGATGCTGTTAAAAGTGTCCACTATGATTCAAAAGGGTGCTGTTCAAACAACATGTTGTTTTTGATGTTGTTTTTTGGTGATGGGTTTTCTATTCGTGACTCTTAGAAAAGACCCAGAAACAAACATGTGAAGATCATAATTTTCCACGTGTCACAAGTCATTTAAAAAGATAGGTGGGGGATCTGCTCACATTTTTTCAAACCATGGGATGCTGTAAAAGTGTCCACTATGATTCAAAAGGGTGCTGTTCAAACAACATGTTGTTTTTGATGTTGGTTTTTGGTGATGGTTTTCTATTTGTGATTCTTAGAAAAGATTGAGAAACAAACATGTGAAGATCATAATTTCCACATGTCACAAGTCATTTAAAAAGATAGGTGGGGGATCTGTTCACATTTTTTCACACCATGGGATGCTGTAAAAGTGTCCACTATGATTCAAAAGGGTGCTGTTCAAATAACATTTTGTTTTCGATTCTTAGAAAAGACCAAGAAACAAAAATGTGAAGGTCAACATTTACCACATGTCACAAGTCATTTAAAAAGATAGGTGGGGGATCTGTTCACATTTTTTCAAACCATGGGATGCTGTAAAAGTGTCCACTATGATTCAAAAGGGTGCTGTTCAAACAACATTGTGTTTTTGATGTTTCCCCTCCATTATTCAACAGTTATGTCATACAATTTGCAAAGCAAATTTTCTGATGTAAGTCTCAGGCCCGTGCAAAAAAAACATGTATCTATCATAGTTCATATTGCAGTGCCCTTTTTTTGATTCTTCCGGATGCTGTAAAAGTATCCATTTTGTTTGTCTGGCACTGGTGTAAATACTTGGGTATTATGGAGTTTTAAAGATTCCAGCGGTCATCTTTGGTTGCCTCCTTTAAACTTGCCACCACAAGGGACATTGATCTTTTGTGATGCTGCAGCCCCTATCAGACAGATTCAGAAGTTGAAGAAGGGGGGGCAGGGCGACCAAACAAATACACTACGGCAAAAACGATCAATCCGATTCAATTCAATGGGTATTTCTATGTTTGATTTCATTGTTTCTTGCCCTGCAGCCTTCAAGCCATGTGTGCTTTGGACCGCATCTCAATTGCAACTTGTGCTGGCAAAGAGAACTTATCGCTGCATCTTGCTATTGCTGCTGTAAAAGTGGCTTGCAAATTGAAAACAGTTTCCACAGTTTGCTGCCGCTGTAAAAGTGGCTTCCAAAAATTTGGCCAAACAATTTTATATATAGGTTTACAGATAATGACAGGGAACTTATTGGTATTGCTACATACTTGCCAAAGGTATCCGATAATGGTGGCGCATTGTTTTAATTTTCCTGTGCAGTGCTCACTCTTGAACTTTCAGGTCATCCTCATCATCTTCAGTCGCTCGTCTCAAAAACTAGGTGGACTAAGCTCAGGGGGCTCTTAGTGCTATCAGAGTACTAATCCCCGGATGCTGTAAAAGTATCCAGTGCTGTAAAAGTGCTAATCCCCGGATGCTGTAAAAGTGTCCAAGGGGAGGGGGCTCTTAGTGCTGTAAGAGTACTAATCCCCGGATGCTGTAAGAGTGTCCAAACAGCGCTGTAAGAGTGCTGCAAGGGTTGGACTTGAAGGGCGCTGTAAAAGTGCCTGGACCTACAACCTGCACTGCGAGAAGACCAAGAGTCCGGAAGCTTCAAGATCTTTCACATCAAGTTCAGAGGCGGGGTCAGCGGCAATATCCAGCTATAAATCCTATATATAATAAATAAAAGACAACCCCACCACCATCCACTACCCACCCCATCCCACCATCCACATCCCATATCACCATCCCACCCCATCATCTATGCTTATGAGATAAAGAGTATAGTATACAGGCACAATGGCTGCAACCTCAGTGTCGTTCTTGCCAAGCATTGAATTGCTGCTGTAAGAGTGGCTGGCGCACGGAAATTGAACATGACTTTCAATATCTTTCAATGGTATAATTATGCTCGGCTCTCAAACATTGAATTGCCGCTGTAAGAGTGGCTGGAAAGCAAGGTGCATCAGGGCTTATATAGACATGACCTTCTGTGTTTTTAGATTTATACAATAGGAAAAAATATACGTATACGTATACAGGCATCATGGCTGCAACCTCAGCGTCGTTGCTGGCAAGCATGGAAATACCGCTGTAAGAGTGGCTGGCACATGGCAATTAAACATGACTTTCAATATCTTTCAATGGTATGATTGTGCTCTGAGGAGTGTTCTTGATGTCCTTCCTCACAGTCAAGCCATGTACCTGGGCAGCACTGATTTCAGAAAACTGAATGCAACCTACATTTCTAATTGCGATTGTTTCATGGACAGACAGACACTCTTACAGCATCTCCACAAGACAGTCTTGCCCGAAAGCCTAATTGTAGACACTTTTACAGCGTCTACCCACAAGATGCAGTGCTGCAACATCTTTTTTGCCCAGCGGAGTACTGTGTGTGTGTGCGATTTTATAAGTACTTGGCCAAATGTTTGAAAGCCACTCTTACAGTGGCAACAACCTGACTCTCACTGCCAGCACAAGTTGCAATTGAAGCACACCATGGCTGAAGGCTGCAGGTCAGTGAGAAACAACAAACCCAATGTATTACCCATTGAATCCCATTAGGTTTTTGCTCCTGAATCCCTAAAAGAAATCGCACATTGAACACCCCTGGGTATCTTGTTGACATGTGGAAAGTTTTGATCTTCATACTTGTGCTTTTTGATTATGTGTTCAATGTGCGATTTATTTTAGGGATTCAGGAGCAAAAACCTAATGGGATTCAATGGGTAATACATTGGGTTTGTTGTTTCTCACTGACCTGCAGCCTTCAGCCATGGTGTGCTTCAATTGCAACTTGTGCTGGCAATGAGAGTCAGGTTGTTGCCACTGTAAGAGTGGCTTTCAAACATTTGGCCAAGTACTTTAAAAAGAAAATGCAAGAGAAATGCCATAGTATATTAAATATATGTATGAGAATTGCCACATACTTGCCAGAGGCATTGATGGTGATGCATGTTTTTTTTTCTGTGCAGTGATGCCCACTTGAACTCTCAGGTCATCCTCATCATCTTCAGTCGCCGCTTCTCTCAAAATTGAGGTGGACTGAGCTCAAGGGGCTCTTAGTGCTGTAAGAGTACTAATCCCCGGATGCTGTAAAAGTATCCAGCGCTGTAAGAGTGTCCAAACAGCGCTGTAACAGTGCAAGGGTTGGACCTGGCGCTGTAAAAGTGCCTGGACCTACAACCTGCACTGCGAGAAGACCAAGAGTCCGGAAGCTTCAAGATCTTTCACATCAAGTTCAGAGGCGGGGTCAGCGTCAATATCCAACTAATATAACTTATAGCATCACCACCCGCCGACCCATCCCACCACCACTCACAACCCACCCATCCCATCCCATCCCATTGCCCCACCACCACCCACCACCCAAACCATCTCATCCCGCTGCATCATGTCGTACTCCATCCCACCCATCCCATCCCATCCCCATTCCATATCACTCCCACTCCAATTACAGACCCACCCCATCACCAACCGACACTATTGCCATCCCATCATCTATACAAGAGTGTATATAGTATACAGGCACAGACAGGCACAATGGCTGCAACCTCAAAGTCTGGTTTGTGGCAAGCATTGACTTGCCGCTGTAAGAGTGGGTGGACAACAAAGTGCTACTGTATATAAACCTGATTTTTATCCATATAAACCTGGTAGTCAGTGTATCGTGGGTACTGCACGAAAATATAAATTCCACAGCCGGTGTAAGAGTGGCTGGTACGCAACATGCATCATGGCACAGTAGTAGACATGACTCTCAGTGGCACTGGCTCTGAGGCGAGTGCGCCAAGATGTTCTGTGGAAAGTCAGCATGTACCTGGGCAGCATTGATTTCAAACAGCTGAGTGCAACTGACATGTCTATAGTTGATGGTTTCATGGACACTCTTACAGCGTCCCAGCGTCTACACTGCATATAGACACTTTTACAGCGTCTTATGATAGACACTTTTAAAGCGTTTTGCTGACAGATATGGCGCCACATTTTTCTTCAGATCAGCCAAATCTTTGGTCTGCTGTCGCCAGATCTTTGATCCACCAGCCCAGCCCCAGTGATTATAGATATATAAATA